TGTGTGTGTGTGTGTGTGTGTGTGTGTGTGTGTGTGTGTGTGTGTGTGTGTGTGTGTGTGTGTGTGAGAGAGAGAGAGAGAGAGAGAGAGAAAGATGGTGGAACCCCCCTAGGAAAACATGGCTTGGCGAGTTGGCACCCGTCCAAATGTAGCGTTTTCATCAATAGTTTTATCCTTTTGCACTCGTGCCTTGTTTTCTACACTTGTTTCTTTCTGCTTTCATTTCTGTAAATGGTTGAGTGTTATGTACTTGGCTTCCTCCTTTTTCGTTCTGAAAAAAAGCACAGCTCCAGAAGGAAAAAAATTGAAAAACCAAAAACAAACAGGCCCTTATGGGTCTGATTATGTAGTACGTTGTCTACATATACATTCGGGGGAGCTTTAGTTCAATAGGAATAGAAAGACCCTAGGTCCAGGCAAAAAAATAAAATGCAGCAGGTGGGTTTGTTCGCTTACGCACTTAGTTTGAGAGTTCAACGTGCATAGCTAGGCTTTCTGGGTTGTCAAGCACGTGGGTTGGGCCTGTGATCACACATCTTCATTCTTTCAGTAGTTGTAGTAAAGGTCAATGTATGTATTTGTTCAAATGTACGCATAAGGGTTCGTCAAATGTGCATCTACTTTGAAATTTGTACGATCCCCCTGGGGCTTCAGCGGCCGGAAATACCCCCGCGCTTCCGGGGGGGGGAAGAAGTTCTTGTTTAATGCATCATAGGCATAGATATCAAAAAGAGATATGGTGTGTTTAGCGGGAGTGAGTTTAGTAGAAAATTTTGATTGTTGATTGAAGATAATTTGTATCTTATAAGGTTGAACTACTCGAGGTGCGCTTTGTAGCAAATCCTTCTTTCAGATCTAGTAGAAATTGTATAGTGTTCTTAAGGACATCCGTTAAAATTGGAATGATACAAAGAAGATTAGCATGGCCCCTGCGCAACGATGACACACATATATCGAGAAATTATCCAAATTTAAAAAAAATAAAAAATTGTTTTGTGGGTGATATAGAAAATGAACTTTGTAGTGTGTTCCCACGTATGTATTAAGCATTACAAATATTTCAAGACCTAGTCATTTAACAACCTTCCCACTTCTCTGTGGAGTTGTGGTTAGGTGCATCCACCACGCGGTGTTGAAAAAGAAGTTGTGTACTTAGGTGCATCCACGTTCTATCGGAAAAGAAGTCATATACATCCAAGGAGGTCCATAGTGTGAGTATGCCCTCATCTTGTTTGCCATGTGACTTTTTGGACTTTTTCTCAAAGTTGCAGAATTTTTTGAAATGTGAACATCCTAATTTTAAAGAGTCCATTAGAAATCTAATTCGCCTGACAGTAAACTTGACCTCGAATAAAAACATGCAAAAAATTGTGAATATATATTTTTTTCGGAAACACACACACAAATTTTGACCCCCAAACAGTTTTAGGGTTTAGGGTTTAGCATTTGGTATTAACCTCTTCTTGCGCCAAAATCACCCATCTTTAGAGACACCTGTCATGTGGTGTCACCAGCAAAAGGATTGCATATAGTCTAAAGGTTTGTAGAGCAGGCAAAGCAAAAAGATTTATAGTGCAAGCAAAAGGAAAAAAAATAAAAATTAAAAAAAGCATAAGTCTACTCGTGCTAGAACGCTGCCACTGTACGATGACATAGAGGTTGTCAGGCTGGTTTCTAATGAGAGATGAAGAACGGAAGGCCCGAAATTCAGGGTTTTCCCTAGCATCACCATAAGCAATGTCTTCAAAACTTTCGCGAACAAACAATGCAGCCAAAAAAACAAACAGGCAATAAATATTTAAGGGGAAAAAAAACTCAAAAGCCTAGGCTACCAGCCAGGCCGCCCAGGTCACCCTATTTTCCCGGGTGGCCCGACCGTGCAAGGGCCAGGGAAGGTCCCAGAAAAAAACAAAAAATTATCCAAGATCCGGACAAAAACTATGTTATGCAGAAAAATAAACTGAAAAACTTTTGCCTCAGGCTCAGATCGAAATTCTTTACCAAAATTTAAATTAATTCAAAAAAAGAAAAATCTAGGTTATTTTTCCAATACACGCCTGGGTGCCCGCCTGGGCCTTGACCCCGGGCAGGGTCCTGGGCAGGCCCAACGCAAAAAAAAAAAAAAAAACACCCTCCAATCCAGATGAAGTCGTAATAACCGGATGTACTATTCGGGTGAAAACGGGCAGTGTTGGTGGACTTGGTCGCCGGTGGACGGACACTTGTCGACAGGCAGGCTAGGCTGTGTGTATGCTGGAGCAGACGCAGGTGGGCATGTCTTTTTTTTTCTTAACAATCCCCTCCACTGCCAGTGGTGCTTGTAAGAGGCAGGCACCGGGTTTTTTGGCAAATTTCAGGCTGCAAGGAATATGAGTGTGAACGATATACAGAAAACCGAATTGCAAGATCACACAGTTGTCTGAGTAGTCGTGTACAAGTACAGAGCACAATAGCACCGAGAATCCATCCAAATACAGCAAAACAATAAAGTAATGAGCCAATGTTCAAGCCCGTAGGCCACACCAACACGGTATCCAAAGTCGCTCCATAGCCGACCTCTCTTCAAGCACCAGGTACGTATCTCGTCACCATAGCCGACCTCTCTTCAAGCACTAGGTACGTGTTTCGTCACCCTCAGTCAAACCTTGATTTCCCCACACTCGGCTCCTTCCCTGAAGACCACCAGATTGCCCGCATTACCCTGTGGCGCCCAGCAGCCCAGCTATGGCTGCCTGCGGCCTGCTGCCCTGCAGCGCCCCACTTCACCTGAACGTGGCCCGTAAGCGCCCTTGGCCGCAGCGCAGCATCAAGTGATAGTGCAACAGCACTTCCGCATTGTCTGCATTGGGCAGAATGCCTGCCTTGGGCTGCCTCACTTCTTTTATGGAAGTGGCAGCCTCCTGGATGCTGCGTGTGGCCTGCCTCGAAGCTTCCAGTAGCTTTCGGTTGGGTTTCAGTCCCTGCGTGCAGGCCCGAGACTACAGTTGAGGGCCTGGACGGCTTTTACAGTAGGGCACGACCTGAGTCTCCGGACTTGGGCTGTTTGTTGCATCTGTGCAGGGCTCCCAGGTAGGTGCGTTGGCAGTACTGCTTTCCCAAAGTATCGGCCCTGCTTTGTGTGTATGTGCCCAGGTGCAATTGTCAAGGCCTGGGCCAACTGTACGACGCAACTTAGTAAGGATCATGCATCTCCCCAACCAACTGGCGTGCTGCGAGAACCTGAATACCCACATATGGAATATGTCGAATTTTGGCCTTAGAGTTTGACAAATATTCAAGCCCGCCTTCACTTAGGGCGGGCACTCAACTTGCTGGGGCCTTAGCCTAGAGCATGTGATGTCTGATAGGGCCCGTTTGAGGGCTCGTTCCTCAACTTGTAGTCGTTGGTGGATTGTTCATTTCTGTTGCTTTTTAATTTTTGAAAGTTCGGCTTGTCACATTACGTTGCTTGCTTTTTGATGATTTTGCTTGTTGGGCAATGTCGGTTGACCTCGTTATTTAGCTTTTTTCTTTTTTTTGTTGTGGAACCCCAGACCATCACTTTCTTGATTAAGGGGGTTTACAAAGTTCAAAAAGATCTTCGAGTATTATTATAGGAGTATCTAAACAATTGATTGTTTTGTATATGTTATTTGTACCTTGTTTGGTATTTTCAGGATTGGAGCTCATTGGACATAGCATCTCTGCTATTCTGCTTTAATACTGCTTTTAGTCAGCGAGTAAAAATGAAAAATTTGAACATTGAGAATGCACGTGAATTTGAAATTTGTCCTTTATGCGAGCAGTCTCTTCCTAGTAAAATTTCAGTTGTGTTGGTAGCTTCTGCACCACACAACGATGGAGAAGATAGTGCGAGGGAAGTGGAGGGGTCACATCAATCCAGACCAGGTTGTTCAAAGATGGGGTCAGATGAAAGCATACCTTGTTCTAGAGCAGAAGAGTCACATCAGAGCATTCCAGATTCCAAAAAGGCAGGATCAGAGCAAAGCACACTTGTCTGCAGAGGGGTCACATCAAAGCATGCCTGTTGCTAGTAACGCAGGATCAGATCAAACCATGTCTGTTGCTAGGAAGGGTAAGCAGAGGAAGGATGAGGCAGGTTCTAGAAGGGCAGGAGCAGATGAAAGCACACCTATTTGTAGAAGGGGTAGACAAAAGAAAGGTCGAGCCATGAAACAAAAACTGGAGACACAGCACAATCCATTTTGCTGTCCAGTGTGTCATAAGGAGTATCAAAATGGACACGGATTGACTATTCATTTGTCGAAAAAACACAATGTGCACGGTAAACACTTTGAGAGGGCGACAACACACAAATTACGATGCTCAAATAGTAAGAGACAGGGAGTAGAGTTTTCTCGTCGTGGTGGGAAACACAATGCACATGGGAATGTTAACGATGGGAAAGAGTTGAATAGTGAAGGAAATGTTGCAAATGAAAATGACCGTGCAGACACCTATCATGTTGACGTGAACAGGGAGGACGGAAGTTTACCCTATTGTATTGAAGATCTGAGTAAAAAAAGAAGTTTTGTTAGTGATGAGAATGTTGTCGAAGAAGGTGGAGACTTCAGTATGGGAGAAAAGGCAAAACGTGTTGTTGAAGAAGGTGGAGACTTCAGTATGGGAGAAGAGACAAGACCCTGGAGTGGGCTAAGTGCAAAAATGAATGTGGAAGTGGGTGAAGGCCATTGCGCAGAGGATGAGATGGAAGCGGAAACTTTTGTCAGTCAGAGAAATCAGGAGAAAAGAGAACAAAACATTAGACAAGGCAAAAAACAAACTGTGCAGAATGGTCAAGTATTGGTGGATGATTGGTTCATTGACTTAAGTCAAGATGAAGAGGAGCAAGGAACGAATGGACCCTCCCACGTGAATAGTATGGAGGAGGAGATGAATATCGGAAGAGATTGCCATGATAGGACAACAACACCTCTATCTGCAGAGTCTGTAGAGATTGTGGCATACAATGATGTTCATATTGCCATGATAGGACAAGTGAATCGGCACACTGCAGCAGTTGACAACTTCCATGGTCATATGCTCATGATACGGGGTAGAGAGGAGGAGATGAATATCGGAAGACCTCCTGTGGTGGAGGACAGTGTGATGAACATCATCGATGACTGTTCATTTGATGATATTAATCCTGATTTGTACGATATTTCCGAGAAATGGTAAACTTGAAAGGTAATTTTTATGAACGCATGGTGTTGGGTTAAAGCATTTGTCATTTTTCGAGTCATTCCCTGTTTGTCCCACTTCTAGCAAACAGCAGAAAGAGAAAGGGGGAGTCCTAGGAGCACAAGGAGGATGTGGGATTTTTGCAACTAGAACAGTAACAGTTGGTGCTACTCTCAGCAGAGAGAGAGAGAGAGAGAGAGAGAGAGAGAGAGAGAGAGAGAGAGAGAGAGAGAGAGAGAGAGAGAGAGAGAGAGGGAGAGAGGTTTTTGTAAAAAACTCTCATTGGATATAAATTTTGTACATATTTTTACTTTTTGAGTTTTGTAAGTTTTTCACATCGGCAGCCAAAACTTTGGTAAATCATCATCATCATCACCGACATCATTATGATGGCCATTTGGGGAATTTGCTTGTAATGCGTTGTTGTGCATAAGCGGCGGTCGAGACGGTACAACTACTGGTGGTGAACGAGAGCACGACGACGGGAGCCTCCTACCCTGCAACAGCTTCCCACCAATTCTCGTCTCGCCGTCATTCAGCGGGCAATGCAGCATCCGTTGACGTGGGACATTGGCAGCAACAGCAGTAGCCGAACCATCAGTTGGTGACTGGCGCCGCTTCAGCGGCGGGAAGGTCGGTGGTGCCGATCCGTGATGACGAGCCGATGGCGCCGGTGGCGGCGGTCTCAGCAGCAGACAGGGCGCCAGGGCATGACCCCTAGGGGGGAGAGAGAGAGAGAGAGAGAGAGAGAGAGAGAGAGAGAGAGAGAGAGAGAGGTTTTTGTAAAAAACCCTCATTGAATATAAATTTTGTACATATTTTTACTTTTTGAGTTTTGTAAGTTTTTCATTTTTTTTTAAATTTGTAATTTTTTACTTCTTCTGGCTATGAGAGTCGCTCGGGCCTCGGGGTGACTTGCCTGGTCAGGCCAACAAAGAATTATTTTTGGTAAAGAGTTTCAATGCAACTCTGTAGAAAAAAGTTGTTCAACTTGTTTTTGTGCATAACATAGCTTTACTTTCAGAAATTTTGGATTTTTTTTTTTTTTTCCCCTGGGACCTTGGTCTTTGTACGGGCAGCTCAACCGAGACCCAGGACCCGGGCGGCCCGACTGGTAGTCTAGGTACTATTTTTTTTGTCTTTTCCATTTTGTTAATCTTCTGCCTACATGACCGACTTGAGAATTACTAACTTATTGTGTGTCTCGTTGTTATCAAGCAGGTCATGGACCATTTTTTCAAAAATGAAGTCATTGAGAAAGTTACAGTAACAAAATGAACAACGAGGAGTAGAATCACTGGCCTCCTTGAAACAACAATATCTTCTGAAAACACTTCCATAAACCGTGATATTGATGTCAATGGTCTACTGTTGGATGAGACAGAGGTGAATTTTTGAATATGTCTGTAAATTCTTTGTTGTCTTTGTTAATCAGATTAATTATTGAGCAGTCTGCTGTCCGGTGGTGCACTTCTGTGAAGGTGCATTGTTTGCATAGGCTGCTCGCTGTCCGTTCGAAATTTATTGTTGCATGCATTCCTCATGGAATTAGCCCATGATTCTGATTGGTGCGACTTCGTTGTCAAAACTCGGCGTGGTGATGGAGGTTCAGCCAGTTAAGGTTGATTCTTGCATTACACTTCCGTTTCTATCTGATCTCTTGATTCCCCTCGCACTTGCTCTTTGACAATTTTTAGATTCCCCAATGTCATAGTCTAGCACTCTTTTCAAATTGCCCGCCAAGTCCCGTTTTTGATCCTCTGGAAAGGAAAGGGGGGAAGGTTAACTTGAGGGATAAAGGGTAGGGAAATAGGGACGACCATAACGTTTTCGGTTTGCAATGTTTCCTTGATAGTAATTGGTCTTTTCTATGTTTAGATACGCTATGTGTGACAGTTTCAAATTCATGCTATTGCCCCAAGCATATGACACAGTGGTCGTAGCTCATAAGGTTGTTTTTTTTCTACTGATCTCCATGATCTTTTTTCGGGCGCCGGGGAAACCAACTTGTGTCTGGATACATATTTGGGTAGCCGGTCGGGCATGACCCCTAGGCACGGCTTAAAAAAAATTTAAAGAATTCAAGAATAAAGAAAACAACTTCCTAAATTAAATTAAATTACGAGTACTTGGCCCGGCTATCAAGTGCAAGCCTCGGCTGACCGGTATGCCGAGCCTTGTTGAGGCTCGAACTACCGGGCGCTAACCTCATGAACGTCCTTGGAGAAGAACGCGAAAGCGGAAAGATTCATTCCCGTTTCCATTTTTTTGAAATGAGAGAGAGAGAGAGAGAGAGAGAGAGAGAGAGAGAGAGAGATAGACAGAGGTGTCGAGTTCATCACTGTCCTCCGTGCAGATCACCGCCCCCCTCTCTCTCTCTCTGCCGTTCCGAAAAACGAAAATGAGAATGCATTCCCGTTGCTGAGCTCTCTTTCTCTCTCTTTCTCTCTCTCTCTCTCTCTCTCTCTCTCTCTCTCTCTCTCTCTCTCTCTCTCTCCCCCCCCCCCCTCCTCCCTCGCTCCCTCCCTCCCTCCCTCCTGTGAGACTTTGTGTTTTACCATTCGTTTTCTTTCTTTTCTAAATTTTGTGTATTTGATTTTTTTTGTTTTTTCTTTCTTTGTTCTTTTGTGTTGTGAATCTGTGGCGTCGTACCAAAAAAAGTAGGGGCCGGCCTTCTAAGCAACGACTGGGCCTTCCCTTGGCCGACCCCCAAAGGTGTCGGCGCATTAACGGGGGAGGCCCGCGGCCGTTAGCTGGGCCAAGCACTGGTGGTTTTGTCTTCTGCCATTCTTGAATTAGAGACTTTCACCTCTCATCTTGTCCTCTTCCCTGTTATCATTTGTGAATCATAAGGGCTCGCCACACCACTCTTCAAACCGTGTTTTCAAGAGTCCAATGCCAACCAACCCGGATCTCTCAGATGAGCACTGGCAAGAAGATGGGATAGATGAGAGAAGGATATAGATAGAATGCAGGGCGATAGGCGATACTGATAACCTAGTGCTACATCTTGTACACTGCACAGGCCTGCTCAGTCAATCCCCCGGCTCCCAGTGCAATTATTGCTAGCAGGCTCCACCGATACGTTTCTCAGATATTCTCAATGCTTGTTGTATATGGGACTCTGGACCCGCTTTCCAGCAGGTGAGCCTCCCCACCAATAGATTGAGTCTCTCTTAGGGCTAGAGGTGATTGCTTTTATCAACACCCCTAACTCCCCAAAACTATCGCAGCTCCCCACCAATGGCAAGTGGTCTGAAAATTAGGGTCTCCGTTAACCTTCTCTCACTTCAAATGAACGTTCCTGGCTGCAACAAACCGAGCAGCAGAACAGGGACGGCGATTTGGACAACCAGCTCAGACAACAGAGCCAACAGAACTGCTTCCACAAATCCGGCAGCAGACAACAGAGAAGCAAAATGCAAATGGTAAGGCCTGATGAATGAGACGCTGGACCTGTTTTCTAGCACTCGCCGAAGCTGGGTAGTGACCCCAGTATTTTCTGGGTCCCCGACCTCGTCTTATTGATGCAATAATAATGGATAATTCGATAATGTTTTTTTCAAAAAAAAAATAAAAAAATTGCAAATGGACTCTGGGACAAACAGTTGACAATCAACGAAGAAAAAAAATTGATAATGTTGTGACCATTTCTCCATTTATGTGTGTCATCCTTCCGCATGGGTCATGCTAATCTTCTCTGTATCGTTCCAATTTTTAATGGATGTCCCGAAGGATGACCCCAAGTTTTCATTTTTCGTGTTTCCCGTTTTTTCTTTGTTTGGTGGAGGAAAGCGGCGGTCCCTCTTTTTGTAGCTCTCTTCGACATTCGTTTCTTCTCTCCGTCGTCTAGCTTCCCTCTTACGTCTTTCTCGTTCTACCTTCTTCCCCGGAACACAACGCATCCTCATGTTGACTGTATCGGCCTGGAAAGTTACCTTGCATACGTTTATTATCAGGGTGCGTTATGTTCGGGGAAAGAACAAGAAGACAATAAAGAGCCTTGCAATGAGGTGCATGACTCCTTCCTGTCGTTTTTTTCATAATATTTCTCGTAAACTTTATGTTTTTTGTTCTCCATATTTTTTATCGTCTGTTCTCCTGATATTCCTGCTTATTCCTTTTTCCTTCTGCGAATGTAATCGCGTGCTTCATTTTATTTTATTTTGCCAGTTTAATCACAACATTGTCATTTATTCCGTTTTTACCATGTCAAGTCAAGCAGCGACTGCGCCTTCCCGTGGGCGCCCCCCGAAGGTGTCAGCGCATTAACGGGGAAGGTCCGCGGCCCTGCTACAGTTTTCTCCGGTCATGTCGAGCAACAGTGGTTGGTGCCATCACTACACGGCCATGCTGTGCCTCTAGTGTCAGCGGCATGTCTGGAGTGTATTTTTTGGCTGTGACAAAACTTTCGTTGTTTCATGGATGTTTTTGCTGGCTTGTGATGGGGTCTGAACTGACAGTTTGTAGAGTTTTCCATCTAGTGTGCGTAAGTGATAGTCTGCTTTGATTCTCGTCACACGTACCTTGAGGGCAGTGCTTGGTGCTAACCTCAGGGTATCAGTTGTCAGGCTGTCGTTGATGCTTAACCACAACCGGGGTTAAGGTGGATTATCACTTACAGTGTAATCAGTGAGAGGATTCTGCAAACTTTTGAGGGTTCAACCTCCTGATGAGAGTCGGTGAAAGTCCACTGAAACAGTTTGTTACAACCCCTCTCTCCTAACGGTTTACTGAGCAGCTCTGTTTGACAGTATATATGTAGTGGATTGTCACTTGCAGTATAATCGGTTAGGGGATTCAGCAGACTGTTGATGGTTCAGACTCTTGATGAGTCGGTGAAACTTCAATGAAACAGTTTGTCACAGCTCCTCATTTATTATCCTCTTTTATATAGATGAGTCAATGAAACTTCGATGAAACAGTTGGTCACAGACCTCGCTGCTTGTTCTCTTTTCACTCGCTGCCTACGGTTTAGCAGACAGTTATGTTTGACGATATATACCACGACTTCGAGAGCACCGAGCTACGGTTTACCAGTCAGTTCTGT